AACTCAAAGTTTGAGAAACCACCCCAAGTGCCCTTCCTCCCGCTCCTCGCTTTTTAAGGCCACCTCTACGAAAGGAGCGAGGACGCAGAGAGGCACTAGCCTCCCTCTCTTCCTCCCCACCACATGTTTACCTGTGTTGCATTTCTAAGGTGAGAGGGGTAGAGGCAGGCGAGAGTGGCGCGTCCGTGTGGAGGGGGGACAAGAAGGATTGGGGGGGTGGCTCCGTTGCACACGCGTGCTGTGGTGCAATCCTCGTGGAGGCGGCTCACAGCGCAGTCCCGGAAAGGAAGTCAGATGTAAAGCCATTAATAAAAGCGCGAGAGAGGCAGGCAGGCAGGCGAGCGCTCTTGTGCAGTGACATCGGACTTGCTGCGTAATGTAACACCAATTCCCAATCCCTGAAATGCAGGCCCAAGGACAGCCCCGTTCAGTCCTGCATCTCTTCTCCATGCACACCACACGCAGAGTCATATCAGAGGAGAAATGCAGGCAAAAGGCTCTTCTCTTCTTTCTCTGCCCTCCTTCCCCCTCCCCACCTGACATCCTTGTATGCCTCCTGAGCGAGCAAGCAAGCAAAAAATCCTTCCAGTCTTTGGGACGTTAGACTGAATTTCACCCCTGCTGGTCAGATGACTGGCGGTCAACAGAGCCCCAGGCAGAATTGTGCCCTGTGAGGGGGCCATCTCCACACCTCCTTTGCCTCTTAGCGCCCCCTTGCCTCGTAGTGCCCCCTGCCGCCCGCTTGCCTCTTAGCATCCCCCTAAGTTATCCCACTGCCCCTCAGGGACAGTACCGCCCACTTTGGGAACCAGTGATCTAGACCAACATGCTTCCATTATGTATTTCACTTAATTTAGAACTAACATGACTAATACTTTTACTAATGTTATGTCTTCTCAAATCAGGGAAAAGGCCAAGGAACTGTGGCAGAGCATTCATGATCTTGAGGCTGAGAAATTCGATTTACAGGAAAAGTTCAAAAGGCAGAAATACGAGGTAAGACTAAGCATCGATATCAATTTCTTTACAGCTCTGGATTCTATATAGGGTAATCAAATGTCACTTCTTACTAAGACTGAGTGAAATTAAAGTAGAACTATTAGATCATTTGGGAGCTTTGTAGAACTTTTTTTAATTTTTTGAGAACATTTTCATAATTGAAGTCAAGTTATGTCAAGGTAGCGGCATGCATTATTAAAAGATCTGTAGTCATGCATAGCCTACTGTGCTGTTAACAATGTACACATTCTACAGGACACAAATGCAAGCTATGCATCCATAAAAGTTATCTTGGGATAGTTATCTGCCCAAAGAATTTTTCCATTTGACCTGGAAATGAGCTGTCAGTAAATGATTGCAGATGTCTCAATAAAACTTGCTGTACAGCTGAACACAGGCCTGTGATTCAGTACTGCCATTTGTACAGTGCAAAAGTTTTCATAACTGTTTTTAAAGCAATCCCCCAACAAGAAAGCAGTGTTTCCATCCCTCTCTGTAATTAACACAAGGGAGCTAAATGGGAAGATGGTTATTCTTTTAAATACATGATCCCTAATTGGCTGGGATCACCTGGGCAACTGATTCAGGAAGAAAAAGAATTGTTTTTATGCTCAATTAACTTCCCTTGCTTTGAAGAATATTATTGTGTCATGCCTTCATGAAATACTGTAAATGACAAAATCCTTCATTGGCTGGTATTATTCACATTTCTGTGAGCAAGAAATATCAATCAGGAAGTGGGTGGACTGAAGCAGAATGGACAAAAGGAATCATGGTGATGATTAATCTCAGAGAAAGTTGAATATTTTCCTCATTTGGGTGTTCTAGTCATATTTTCTTTGCACTGAAATCACTACTGAAAATGAAAATGGACAAGCTTTCAACACAACCTTGGTATTTACTCCCCCCCCCCATTTATTTTCACTACAAAATGACATATTTTTTTCACCAAATAAGAACTGACGGGCATGAGTAATCTGACATGACTCATTTGAAAGACAATCTAGATTTATTTCCATTTGGAATCAACATGATAAATCAGCACTGAAGATCTCTTTACATGAGTGAAGTTACTTCTGTGCTTCAAGTGGATACAGTTGAATAGGTGGGAAAAATAGTTTAAACCTGCTTTCCCTGAACTGAATATTTTTATTTATCTTGGACTATACCTATCAACATTTCTCATTGGCAAGGGCAATTCTAAGATTTGTATTCCCAATGTATGTGGGCACCCCAGGTTAGCAAAGGATATTTTAGGCATAGGGATAGGAGAAAGGCCTTGAGAAATGGGGTAAAAAATGCTGCCTAGATAACAGTCAGATAAGAGAGGGCCTAGCTCACATTGCGCAATGCACAGGGAAAGAGGTGGATAAGAAGCCCTCCCTAGCTTTTCAGGCTGTAAAAGTGGCAGTAGGAGATTTGAACCTTCAGACTTGCAAAATGGATGTCAGCTTTCCTAGGCAGACCAGACAGGAAACAAATTCATTGTAAAGCTTCATTAACATAATCTTGCAAGTCTGAAGGCCCATTTTGCAAATGTGAGGTTTTCTACAAACCTCAAGACATTTCTAACTTCTGCCTATATAGATCCATTTTGTCTACATAAGAATTTATATCAAAAAGAGACTCTAGAAAGAGTGCAGAGAAGAACAACAAAGATGATTAGGGGCAGTGGTGGGTTGCTAACCTGTTTACTACCGGTTCACTCGTGTATGTGCACACACTCATGGGCAATGCTTCTGCGCATACCCAGAAGCATCCGAGAGGGTGGGCTGATTCTCCCACCACTGCCACTTCTGATGAGTGGACTGGAGGCTAAAACATATGAAGAATGGTTGCAGGAACTGGGTATGTCTAATTTAATGAAAAGAAGGACTAGGGGAGACATGATAGCAGTGTTACAATATCTCAGGGGCTGCCATAAAGAAGAGGGAGTCAAGCTATTCTCCAAAGCACCTGAGGGTAGAACAAGAAACAATGGGTGGAAACTAATCAAGGAGAAAAACAACTTAGAACTAAGGAGAAATTTCCTGACAGTTAGAACAATTAATCAGTGAAACAATTTGCCTCCAGAACATTGGTGGGATTGAAATTTTTTAACTACAGGTTCTGTGGGCATGGCTTGGTGGGTGTAGTATGGCTTGGTGGGCGTAGTATGGCCTGGTGGGTGTGGCATTCCCACCCTATTCCAGGAGAAGGTTACTGCAAAATCCCCATTCCCTGCCGATCAGCTAGGACTTGGGAGGTAGAGAATAGATGGGGGTGGGGCCAGTCAGAGGTGGTATTTACCAGTTCTCCGAACTACTTAAAATTTCCACTACCAGTTCTCTAGAACTGTTCAGAACCTGCTGAATACAACTTCTGCTCCAGAAGTTGTGAATGTTCCAACCCTGGAAGTTTTTAAGAAGATGTTGGCTAACCATTTGTCAGAAATGGTATAGGGTTTCCTGCCGAAGCAGGGGAATTGGACTAGAAGATCTCCAAGGTCCCTTCCAACTCTTATTCTATTCTATTTTAAAAATGAATTTGCTATTAACATTTATGAACAGCCATCTCACTCCTTCTCCTCATGGATATTGGTGTTATTCAGGTATCAATAAATGAATATTTGAGATTTGTTTCTCAGGATCACCATTTTTGTGTTTCTTTTAATAGTTCCTTTGCAACTGTTTTAATGTTTATAGAAGTAATGAGCTCTTCATTCAGCCTTTGGTGGAGAAGAGTGAAACACTTTACTACATTGCCAATAAAAATTGCTTGCCATTTTTTAAATGTTTAATTGTAATTTCCTTTTTTGAGCCATTGAGAATTTGATGCATACAAGTTTCATACTTTTTTATTAATAGTATTTTCATTTGATATTCACTTATACTATCTATGATCTAAACAAAACAGCAATAAAAACACAGCATGGCATAAACTAGTGTTAATATAATCAATATCTAATCCCAATAGTGTCATAATTTAAATTACTGACAAGTACTGTCATGAAAAGTTCTTCTAGCTTCATAAAAGCCTTAAAAATATTTAAATATATTAAATATTTAAAGGCCTCTAAAAATTGCATTGCTTAAGATGGAGTAAATTCTAAAGAGTGAGAGCTAGATGGAAGAAAGCTTTGAAATGTGGGGTGCCTATTCTAACATAAGAGAAAATTAAGTCATCCTGATTGCATAAGTGACCCAAGCTTGTGGGAATATGAATTATGACTGAGTAGCATTCTTATGGATGTGGAAAGTCAGCACCAGCAGTTTAAACTAGAAATACACCCATATATTCAGCTACTTTAAGAATTGCCAAAGTGGGGGGGGGGAATTGGGAGAGATCCAAGCCTATAGAGACCATGCAATTCTGGACTTAACCCACAACACAGAATGCAGAGTTAGGAAACTAGGCAGCAAACTGCCTAGGAGAGACACAAAGATAGGAACTAATCAATGTTTAGAAATGGCTGAATTCTCCAGAGGTTCAGATGGTGAAAGTTAAAAAAATGTGGATTTATTCATGAAAGGCTATAATATTCTCCTTTCTCTAACCCTAACCAGATTTCCTTACTTACTGCACGCTGTGATGAGTTAAGCAAGTAGTAAGTATAGCCTGTTTCCTGGAAACATCATCTATGGTGTGGAGCTATGTATGCAACTTGCTGCTCTCAATAGTGTCCTCCAATGTCCCTGTGAAGTCTGGATGCTATCAATGCCTTTTCAGATAACTCTGTTGTTCTTTGGCATGTTTGCCTGCTTGGTTTGCAATGATTCCTATAATCAAGTTTAAGTCTCATGAGGTCACACAGTCTTTTGTCTTTTCAGCCATCAACAGGGCTATGGACATGAAAAATCTTTTGGAAGCTTTCTTTTCTAATTGGAATTCTGTACCAGAAGCAGCAGTAACTAAGCAGCCTAGCCTAACTAAATAAATATTGTTTTTCCAGTTCTCCCTTTCTTTTACTCCAACCTTTGATTCTTCTCCTAAATCAGTGGTTCTCAACCTTTGTGTCGGGACCCCTTTGGGGGTCGAACGACCCTTTCGCAGGGATTGCCTAAGACCATTGGAAAACACATATTTTCGATGGTCTTAGGAACTGAGACATCAATTTTATGGTTGGGGGTTACCACAACATGAAGAACTGTATTAAAGGGTCACAGCATTGGGAAGGTTGAGAACCACTAAATAGAAGTATCATGATTCTTTTGCTTTGGGCAATGAACGTTCCAAGATCTTTTCCTGTTAACTTCATTATATATCTCAAATTATTAGAAATGTTGTAGGTTAACTAACATTAAATTGTTTGTTCCGGTTGTATATGTATCTTTAGTTGCTTTGCAATTTCTCCTTTTCGGAATTCTGAAACTTAATCGACATACATTATGACTGGCTGACATTTCAATTTCCCACATAGCAATGCAACTTAGTTTTGTGGCATTATTAGTATTGCTCCCATATTTATGAATGCTTTGAGTGAACTCCATGAACAGGACATGGTTGTACAGAGAAAATGCATAATGTTCAAAATGAAGAATATTGTGGAGCTGTGCTAAGGGAAGTAGAGTTTCAAGAAATGCAGATCCTGCCACAAATAGCAGAGCTTTCCTTTTAAGCTCCTGAAAGGAGAATATTCATCTACCATTCTGTTGCTAGAAAAAATCTCAATGGAAACACGTTGGAGAAGCAATATGAAAAATGAAGCCCTCAGAGATTAGTAGAGCAGGCAAGTGAATTTAAATCTCCTCTTCATTGAAAGAAGGCATATTGTAAGAAAAAGTTACACTGATATAATAAAAAAGGGAAATAAGGACCGAGGTAAATAAACATAAAGCAACCAAATATGTTTCTGGCTCTTACTTCCAGATCTGCTACCGCCTGCAAGCCTTCCTGACTATTGGGGATAATCAATGTCTTTGGTCTGTGTTCTTTTCTTGGCTTCATACTGTGCTGACACAGTAGCTCCCATGCTTTCTTCTTCTTGAAACATCATTACCTATTTATTTCTCTTCCAGATTAATGTTCTACGGAACCGCATTAGTGATCATCAAAAGGTGTAAGTACTCAGAACATGTAGTAAAAGGTCCATCATGTTTCATAGCATCAAGCACTCCCAGTAGATCTTCCACATTTATCTCTCTTTTTTCTTTTGCACTTCACAAATCTTTCCAGTTTTAATGTGTGCTGTCTTTTTTGTCTTCTTTTTATTTCTTTTCCTGTTCTGCTTCTTTCATTTCTACTAATCCTTTGCTCTTCATTTCTTGCCTTTCCTGTTGTTGCAACCCAAGGCTAATAAATGAAGACAACACCTCCTGTAGCTTGGTATTCAGGTGTCTTGAATGAAGCACTTCTACTATTAGCAACTTATATCATTCACTGCTATTGCTTTTCTTATTTAATTTCTTTGCCACTTTTTTCAATTGAGCTTTCTCACTTTCTCTTCTGTCTACCATCTTCTAAATTTTGTTTTCCCATTATTATTTATTCTACATATTGGGTGTAGAAGGGTCATTACATTTTTTATGAAAGAGTGAGATCAAGAAGGCTCCCACTGGAGTGAAACAATTTTTGATGGGCCAGCAACAATATCCTACCTTTGCCATTAGTGGATCTTTCCCAATTATCTGACTAGGTCCACTCCCAAACAATTTGGTATTCTCCAATAAAGTTGGATTATAACTCTCAAAATTCTAAGCCAGGGGTATCAAACTTGGTATCATTGAGGGCTGCATCAGGGTTGTGTTTGACCTCTGGAGGGCAGGGGGAGCATGGCCAGGGGCTCATGGCCAGCTCAACGCCACTCATCTTGGGGACCCTGTGGTGGCCTGAGTGCTCTGCCAGCAAAATTGGGCTCCTGAATTGCGTTTTTGCCTCCAACGGCCTCCTGCAACCCTCTATCAGCAGAAATGGAATTCGGGAGGGCCACCAGTGGCCCTTCCAAGGTCTGTTTTTGCTGGCAGAGGCACCATGGGCAGGTCCATTGTTGTTTCCAGGGCCATGGGTCAGATCTAAGCTCCCCCTAGGCTGTATCCAGCCCACTGGCCTTGAATTTGACACCCTTGTACTAAACCATTAGAGACATTATAGTCAAATACATCTGAGAAGAGACAGGTTGGTCTCTTCTCCTTATGTTTTATTCTTTCCCATCCCAATCCAATTTGTAGATCCTATGCCTACTCCTACATTTTTCTCTATTTCTCCATGTTCATTTCTAATTTTCCTTCTCCTGCTGCAGTTTTCACTAAGTTCCTTCGCACCTCCTGAAGCTATTTTAGTTTTCATCCCTGAACATCATTAGTTTCTCACAGGACATCATTTTTCTCATTCTTTCAGTGCACATCCTTACTAAGTGCAAGAAAACTGCATTAATTAAGATGCATTTCTGTTACTTTTCTATGGCATGGCTTGCTTCAGTTAAGTTTTACCACACTATGTGGTGTCAAAATTCAGCTTTGAAGTGGAAACCATTCCTCACCTAGGTCATATAATTCATTTTCTAAGACCCAGAACATTATGTGTCTTATCTGAACTATTCTACTCAATTATGAACTATCAGCCAACATTGGTATCTTTCCATTTTCCTTGGCTATGACTCTCAGTTTAGAGATGGGGAATAAAGGCACAAAGAGGCTAAAACCTCCTTGATGTTATATGCATGGCTTGTAGGAGTAAGTCTACACCAAGTGGAAACTCTTTTATCTTTATATGGACATTGCTTCTCTTATTGATGTGAGCAACAAATATAGCTGCTTGTAGACTGGAATAGTTCTAGGTTCCTATTTCAACCCATAAACAGATGGCATCTTGATTAGGAATGTCTTGATTTCTGGTGGCCTTTTTAGATTCATCAAATATAAATTTTATTGATTAGACTAATCTACTGAGCACTACTAAACTATATTTCTTCTTTTGTCTCCTCATTTATTTCAGGAAAGGGTAAGTAGCATGTTGTGCCCTTTGGGGTGTATTGATCTGCTGTGCTAGTTTGCATACTACTTAAAGGAATGGCGTTAAGCATCACTCTATGTTATCTTTGGTTTAACAGGAAATCCTGATTTCTTATCTATCTCTATTGATGGCCAACTTTGGTTTTGTGCAATGCTTTTTACGCTCTGATTTCAGTTTTATTCCTGGATAATCAGGGAAGAGTCAGGGGTTTTCTACCATTGAACACTGATATTTCCTCTCTACCTTCCAAATTAGATAGTATGATCTGAGGATGCTCTGGAAGCTGATATAGGGAGCCTGGGATGCTATAGAAAGTGGAGGAAAGGGTAATTTTTTCAGAGCAATAGAAGATGAGGTTATAGGACTGGCATACTAGAGGCTAATGGTAATCTGGGAAATCTCTGCGAATCTTTTCAGGGTAATAAATATCATTCTTAATCTGTCCTCAAATTTAGGAACAGCTGTTGCCCTTTCAGAGAAACAAGACAAATGTTTTGGCTAGACAGAGGGGGTAAAGAATTAAACCAAATGTTTATATATTTCCTAGTTGGTTTTTCGCAGCCAGTCTAAAGCTGGATAATATCTCTAGCTTGCTTCAGCGACATTGCATTCTTGCTCTTTAAAATGTTTTCCGAATGGCTCATGCACGGCCTATGTCCAAAACACCATGCAATTTTGTTTACAGAACAATCCACCTAAGGGAATGTTCAGTGTTAAAACTGGATAGGCAAAATTCCATTTAGTATTCTTCCTCAACCTGACATTCTCTAGATATTCAGGACCAATCCCCACAATCTCCAGTACCAAGGACTAAGGTATAGCTGGGCACCATTTTCAGTTCCCAGGGTTATACAACTCACTTAGGGATATATACACAGGGGAACAGTCATATATGTCAATTTATACCAGTGTGTCTCAAATTTGGCAACTCTAAGATGTGTGGACTTCAACTTCTAGAATTCCCCCCAACAGCCAAGTTTGAGAAACACTGATTTATATCCTGGGTATTGAAAATGAATGGAAATTCATGAAGCTTGCTTTCTCGGCAAACCTGCTTGTAGAAGTTCTATTTCCCGGTGTGGAAAACAAATAATTATCAACTTATAACATGCATCAGGTGGGAAACCAGATCTAAGTGGATCACTAGGTGAGAAAAGAAAACACAGTGGCTTCTTATTATAGTGACCAGCAATCCTGGTTACAGGAAGAAGCAATGTGATCTCTTTATTTCAGGAAGCTAAATGTATTCTTTAGTTGGTTAAAGAAAACATGTTTGCTCCTTTCCAATTAATAATGCCAGCAATCTTTTTTCAATATGATCATAGTGATAATGGTGATCAGTTGACTTGTGATAAAAGTTTATTTATTAGTTTTTTAAATCCCCTTTTTATTACTTTATAAGTAACTCAAGGCACTAAGCATCCTCCTCTTTTTCTCCACAACAACACTTAGCAAGGCTTCCCATGGGTGTGTAGGAAGTTACCAATTGTTTGCTGCAGCATCAAAATATTTCATATCACTACTTCTTTTATGTTTTTACTTATTCTTCTTAACAACTAATAATGGGATATTAATTCCAGTTATTCTCTAATTTTGCTAATATCCCACTTTTTCCAATTTAATTTTAGAGGACTTAATAAACACTTTAAAGAGGAGAGCTAATAAAAGATACAGGGTTTCCTCTGGTATCTTTTATTAAAATGAAATTATTCTGTAAGGTTGGTAGATAATCTCCAGGGCAATCTGTTATTTGCAAGCTTATATGTTTTTATGGTAAGAAATAAATATTTTAATAAATGTACAAATAAGTAAAGAAATAATTATAAAATAGCATACCTTATGAAAACCGGAATTAAAAAAATCCCATAAGTGTAGTGTAGAATTGTATTTGGTGAAAATGCTGAGAATGAATTAGCCTCATAAAATTATAGTTCCCAAGGCTCATTAGAGGATGAGAATCATCTTGAAGTCTTGGGTATGGTTATGGCTTTTAAGACATAAGCTGATTTCCCCCTTAGGGTTCCATTTCCTCAGCACACTATTATCTTCTTATGCATTAAACAGGATGTGTTTTACTGTGCCCTTGCTCTTCCTTCAGTGCCATTTGCCCGCCTTCTGAGAACCAGACTGGTCAGCTTGGGCTGGGCCAAATCTATGAAAGGATTCTGCTGAGAGCTCCCCCCCCCAAAAAAAACCCTTGTGAAAAGAACCTCTTTTTGTGCCCTCTGTTGAAAGCAACAGTAGATCTAAACCATTTCTCCCTACTTCCCTTTGCTTCATTAAGACGTTTGTAAAGAAAAAAAACACCTCACATAAATTCCTTATTTGTTTTTTCCTTTCACAATAGCTCCAAAGCTGCCCGTGGAAAGCCTGTGGTTGGTGGCCGATGGAAGTGAAATGTGTTTCCTGTCTAGACTCTGAAGACAGCCATTCAATACATTTGATCCACTCTCCCAGTCTGTGTGGTTCAGATGAATGTACCACGTTGTCTAGATTTCCCAGAAGAAGCTGCTTTCTAAAGGCCTCACTCTATAACTGCACAGCCCCAGCATTGCACGATGGAAATGGACAGATTACCTGTCACTCAAGTTAATAAATTTGTGTCTGTAAATAAAGCAACTAAAAAAGCTATAATTATTTTCTTTTCCTAATTTTAACATTTGCTATTTACTGGGTAATTTTACAATCTGAAATAGAAAGGAACAGACTTCCTTTATTCCTGGAATTCTTCATATATTGCTAAGAGAACATGCCTTTAAAAAAGTCATTCCACCTTGGAATTTTACTGCTATTAATGACTTTGTTATTGGAAGAAGTCCATTTATCCTGTCTAGGACCTTATTTTTAGAGATCACCCAGATTTGAAAGTATTAGTGATTGTTCTTAGGCAACACTCTCTAAACACTTTATAACATGTACGACATGTTCTCCAGGTTATGTATGGCATCTCCAAGCTATACTTCATAGAAGTTCTGCACCATGCAACCCACTGGATTCTGAACTACAGTACCTGCCTCCAAGACACACACACACAAAACACACACACACACACACCTTCAGTTTAGAATAGTGATGGTGAACATTTTTCTGCTTGGGTATCAAAAGGTCCTGTTGCAGGTGCTGTTGCGCGTGTGTGCATGCCCACCACACCCATAATGCAATGCCCTCCCCCTACACAAATGCATGCACAACACCACCACCCTGCACTCCCCTTGCGCATGTGCGCAGGGCCCCTTGAAGCTTCCGGACCTCCAGTAGGCCCATTGGGCCATTTTTTGCCATCCCCAGGCTTCAGGAAAGCCTCCGGAGCCTGTGGTGCCAAAAAATGGACCCAACGGGCCTACCGGAAGTTCGTTTCCAAACTTCTGGTAAGCCTGTTGGGCCCATTTTTCCCCATCCACAAGCTCTGGAGGCTTTCCTGAAGCCTGGGGAGGGTGAAAATGGCCTCCCCCACCCTCAGGAAGGCCGAAAATCAGCTGGCCAGTACGCACGTGTGAGCTAGATCTGACCTACGGCAACTCTTCATGTACCCTCAGATATGGCTCCGCATGCCACCTGTGGCGTGTGTGCCACAGTTTCGGCATCACGGGTTAGAACCTATCTTCAAGGAATTTTCAAGGCAATTGCTTCCTAAGCAACAATTTGCTGTTTTCAATAGCAGCAGCAGCAATTAATATATTGATTAATCATTTAACCATCTTAAGATAAGGGCTTTGGAGCAAGCTAGATTCCTCTACAGAAAAGGAGAAAACGATACTTTGCCAACTTCTCCCCCATTCACTTTGTCTTCACCTCTATGTACCCAGGAAGACTCACAGGTCTTTGACTGTGAACAGTCAAAATCTGGAACAATCCTGGCTATGTTCTCCCATGTTTGTCTTTGTAGTAAACAAGAGCCACAACAAATAAGCAAAAAGCCCACGCCTGACATAATTGTGAAAAGCATGTGATAAAAGTGACAATAATATGCTGTCCTTTGGCTTCACAACTCATATTCATAATGGTTTTTAATAGAAGTGGGTGAATTGCGCTCTGCATCCAGTTTGATTCCTCTTGTGACAATCCTTGAGGCTTTTTATTTGTTTGTTTGCAAAATAATAAAAAATAAGGTTTAGTAGTTAAAAACATAGATGAGGGACACATTAGCAATTTATTGTATTGTTCTTTTATGTGATCACCTGGACGTCCAGGGGTATAATTTCAAAAACAGGCAAAACTATGGAAGAAAGAACTAATGGAATGACATTTTGCATTTTCCTACTGATTGGCTGATGGAAGTGCCAATTGGCTCATACTTCTGTTGCTTCTGCTTAGTACTTTGAGGTCATAAGCAGAAGTGGAAATGCCCAAAGTTTCTTCTCTAGGGAAGTTAATATAAAATAATGTTTATTATCCTGAATTTCAGAAACTGTAAATAAAGTATGCTTATGGAATAGATTGAAAATTGTAAATTGATCAGAGAAATTAGAATAACAAAAGGCAAGGAATAATGGGACAGTGAGAAGAAATAAGATTTGAAAATGAGTAGATGCCACAACATCTCACTTTTTATGGGAAACTTCAAAGCTTCTGGCATTTGCTGGAGTTTGTTCAGAGAAGAAGCTGAAACCAATCAATTGGCAAAGTTCTCACATCTTCATGGGGTTTAAATGAGCTGTCCATACAAGTAGTTTGGGCACTTTTCTTCCAGACAAAGATCATATTATAGATTTATACTCTTTCTTTCTTCGTTTGTTTTATGTCTCTGACTAATATGTATGCAAGTAGTAACAAAATCTGACCTTCTTTAGCTTTGAGATCAGCCAAACTAGTCCTTGGTAGCCAAACTAAAACTTGGATGTAAAAAAACTACTGTCAAACATTTTCCTCTGTATAACACAAGGTGGAGCTTTGACATCTGCTTCTACCTCTCCCTACCATAATTGCATCTTGCTCTCTATTGTGCCTGTTGATGTCAAGCTCCTGGCACGGTTTCATCCAGCAATACTAGTCCAGACTATCTTTTGACCTATGGCTGAAACTTAGCCAGAGAGCTAAGTCAGAAAGTAGAGATAGGACAATATATTGTCCTAAAGGAACTTCCTCATGTTTTCCAGGGATTGTTTCATCTCTGTCCTGAAGACCATCGATTGCATAAGTTATTGAGTCCAATCATATTGAAAATAAATTGCTAATACAGAGTCATCAATTAAGATTGAGAATCTGCTATGTGTGAGGCTGTATATTTGCTGTGCTCCCCGGAGAAACAGTTTAAGCAGCTAAATAAGAAGGCATCTCTTATTGCTTTTCAAAATAAAAGCTTCCCAAATTGTGTTTGTTCTCAAATAGCAAAAGGGTAACAAAATGAATCAAATCTTTCAATTCCCCACAAAATACAAGTGACCAAGTCCTGCAACTTACCTGCAACAATTATTTTGATCATCATAGTCCTTAGGACTAATTAAAAGAAATGTAGCCCTGATTGCTGAAAACTTGCTCTTCTCGTCTTACATATTAAATGACAATATTTAAAAATATCTTAGGTATCAAGTAGATAAAGTCACTAAGATTCATTTATCATTGCACTCTAACTGGTCTGACCTGGTTAAGTTGTCTGATTCATAATCATACTTAGTTACTTGAAATGAGTTTGCTCCTGTAATCTCTGAGAAATTGGGCAGGATTTTAAACATTTTTCTCCTGGCCTCAAGCTTCTTGCACAGTTGTTTTTATTGTATATCTTTTTGTATTTATTGTTATGTTAATTTTGTTTTTAATTCCAGTGTTGTCTGGAATGAGATAACTAAACAATAAATGAAAATTGAAAATGGCTTTTAGTGATTTGGAGACTGTAAGAGAAGTAACAGTTCTCAAAACTGGTCCTGGTGACTATATTTTTCTTTTGAATGTTGCTGGTCCTTCAGACTCAGAATCTTTGGCAGAAATATTGGCAATGTAGAAGGTACTAGTCCTGGCAGCATGCTCTTATTCATGCCTTTGATTAAGGAGGTAATCATCTCCTTTGATACAAAAATCAAAGTGTATTCATTTAGTGGAGTAAACCAACCACGAACCTGAGTGAGGTTTCTTTATTAAAACTAATTTTAAATGAGTGTCAGACATTTGTCATTATGACATTTGTCATGGTGATCTTCTCAGGTGTGTTACATAGCAGGTTCCGTTTGGTTTCTAAGAACTGGTTGCTAAATTATTGCACACATTACAACTAAGTTAAAACCTCACATTTTCCTGCTATGCCTGACAAGCTGGCTTATCCAGGCAGGGTTAGAAGCAAAACCTGGAATGTGACATAGAGTAAGCTTTGCAGGCTAGGCAATCTGAAGCTCTAATAGAGCTATATTTCATGTTTCCAGTTAGACAGGCTGCCAGGTAGACGGAGAGAAATGTATTTCTTATCATTAAGTGTATTAAAAATAATGGAACTTGGGCAGTAATAAAGAATGTAACTTATTTTGATTCTTTTTAAATAGAGTTTAATGTGAGTAATTCTGGTTTATGGATGAACCTTTCCCCATTTTAGAAAAAAAACTTAGTTCAACAGGGAACAAAACTGTATTATGTCAGTATCATTCTATCAAAATGAACTTATTATAATCATGAATTACTCTCGACTGGTGGAGCCTTTTCGCTTGCTTTAATTATCTGTTGCCATATGAATAATATGAATGTTGGGTGGGGGAGGAGTTAAATATAAATCTAGATATTCATGTTCTTAGAACCACACCCATAAGGAATATCAAGTAATGTCTTCAATTCTCTGATAAAAGCAACCAGGACCAAATTTTCTACATTTTTACAACAGACATAAGTAATATCCAGAATGATCTGTCTCCATTTTGGCCTAGGTCTCCTAATGGTGGATTTACAATTGTTGTAATCAGTTCATTTCACCGGTTATCTTTTTCTTTTAACTTTTCCAAACACTGTGGACTTCTCAAGGGAACTGGTTCTTCACATGATGCCCAAGATATAACTGATCATTAATCTGATCATTAGAGATTTGAATGAGAGTTCCAGATTAATTTGTTCTATGATGCATTTTCCTGGGTGCCTAGGAAAATAATTTTATGTAGATGGTATTATTTAGAGAACATTTTTGAATTGGTGAGATCAAGCTGCTGAGAAAGTGGATGCTATCTTAAAGGTAAGGGGCAAGGGCCCACAAAGCTTGAGGTGTTCTAGTGGACCACCATTTAAGTATGAGCCAGCAGTGTGTTGCAGCTGTCAAAAAAGTCAATGCAGTCCTAGGATGCATCAACAAAAGGATAGCGTCAAGATCAAAAAATGATTATACTGCTCTATACTGCATTAGTGAGGCCATGCTTGGAATATTGCATCTAGTTCTGCTCACTATGATACAAAAAAGATGCTGAGACTGTAGAAAGAATGCCAAGAAGAGCAACAAAAATAATTTGGGGATTGGAGGCTAAATCATGGAATGAACTGTTAAGGGAACTAGGTATGTCTAGCCTAACAAAGAGAAAGATTATGACAACTGTCTTCCAGTACTTGAGGAGTGGTCACGGAGAAGAGGGCATAGGTTATTCTCTTTGGTTATTGTCCAAGGCTCATGAGGGCAGAACAAGAAGCAATGGGTGGAAGCTCATTAAAGAGCAATTTAAAGA